GAGAAGGAGCTATCTTGGTGGTCACGACCCGCACTGTAAACGTCACGAGTCCGTTCACGAATCAGAGTTATCCTATGGCGCACTATGCCGTTAATAACAGTGCACCCCGACCGGAGTCTTATCTTACTGGTACATTCATGCTCGCTTCTTTCGCTTGCCAAATTCCTGCTGACCGAGATCCTAGACTACCTCACGGCCAACGACCCGACGCTTACGACGCCCCTTACGGACGATGAACGCGCGGAACTGTACTCTGAGCTTGCCACCGGTGCCGAGAGTGGCTGGGATTTCTCCACTCGATACGTTAAACTCCCCCTTGCTGGTGGAACCAACAACACGAACCCGGCACTGAGATCTTATAACATCAAGAATACTATTCCCGTTGACTTGAATAGTATTCTTTGTGAGCATATGCGCCATCTGTCAGGTTTCATGGGGGTACTAACATCCATCAGACGCTGCGCACAGCTCCTTGGCCGACTTGTATGACTCCCAAGGTAACTCCTCCGCTGCCTCCTCGCACCGCTCGACCGCCTCCACCATCCGTGCCGGCATCCTTGACCTTTTCTGGGATTCAACCAAGCTTGCGTTCTATGATTTCAATATGACCTCCAACGCTCGCAACAGCATATTCACCGCTGCGACGTTCTACCCGCTTTGGAACGGCATTGTCCCTGACGAGGTGATGAACTCTACGCAGAACGCCTTCGGTGTCTTCTCTGCCGTCAACATGGTCCTCAACCGTTACAACGGGACGATGCCCCCCACTTTTATGGAGTCCGGCCTGCAGTGGGACGCCCCGAACGCGTGGCCGCCGCACCAGCACATCATCATCGAGGCCCTCAAGGCGCTCCCCGCGAACGTCTCGTCTGGCGCGCTGCCGACGCCTGGCAACAACCAGTCGACGTTCGACCTGATCCCACAGGGCCAGCTGTCGCTCTCCGAGGACCAGCTCCCCGGCCAGCTCGTCATTGGCATGGGCAACGCGACGAAGACGGGCCCCGGCGCGGACATCAACACGCTCAACGGCACCGTCGTCAACGGCGGCAACGCCACCGAAGGCGAGGGCTGGAGCCAGATGCTGCAGCGAGAGCTCGCGAATCGCTACTTTGCGAGTGCGCTCTGCAGCTGGCACGCCACCGGCGGGTCGATCCCGAACGTCCTGCCGCGCCTGTCCGACCAGGAGCTCAACGTCACGCAGAGCACCAACAACACTGGCAACGTACGTGCACTCCTCTCGCTTGCTCGCCGTCGTCGTCTCTTTTTTCTTTCTTTTCTTTCTCGGTTGCTGACGGCTTCTGATTCTGGCGCAGATGTTCGAGAAGTTCTCGATCTCGGACCCCAACTCGGCCGGCAGCGGCGGCGAGTACACTGTCCAGGCAGGCTTCGGCTGGACGAACGGCGTCGTGCTCATCCTCGCGGCCGAGTACGGCAACGTGCTCGTGGCGCCGCAGTGCCCCAGCCTCCTTGCGGAGGCGGCGTCCATGAACGCGTCCACGTCCACGTCGGCGACGACCACCGGCTCGAACGGCGCCGCTCACAGCCTGCCGTCTGTCGCTGCGATTGCTTTGAGTGGTCTGGCGGCTACGGCGTACCTTCTTTGAGTGTTGGACTTGGAGTGGTTGGTTGGACAATAAGCTTGGGGTGGCATCGCATCAGCTGGTGGACACTCATACTGACTCTTCGTGCAATGAACTTGTGGTGTCGATGATGAGT